TCTCTCATTCTCTCTGTCTCCAATAAATAAATAAAAAATCTTAAAAATAAAACATAAATAAATAAAGAGAAAGGCACTTGAGATGGGAAAGATGCAAAAAGTAGGGTCCCCAGAACTCTGCATGGAGATGCCCCTCACAACCTTGGCCAAGCACTGGACTGTACTTGAGTAGGGTGAAACTCACTGAGTCCATCCAGAGAACAGTTGCTGGGAAGTGATTCCTGAGTGAAGATACCAGAGGCTATGAAGTGCTGGGCGACTTTGGAGTTCTAGCCAGTCAGGGTGGAAGAAAGAGACTTCATTTAGTAATTTGGACACTTAGTTAAGACTCCACAAAGGCCACACATTAGAAATAAGGACTATGCCCTAGAATAAAGGATATGCTCTAGGGGGAAAAAAACTGTAAAAGATCCTTTCTAACAACATCTAAAACATCTACAATAGGGTTTCTCATCCTCAGCACTATTGAAATATTGAATCAGATTGTTCTTTGTTGTGAGATGCTTTACTTGTGAATTATAAGATATTTAGCAGCATTCCTAATCTCTACCCACTATATGCCATCATCACCCCCAAGTTGTGACAACCAAAAATATCTCTCTATATACATTGCCAAATGGGGATAATTACTCCTGGTTGAGAACCATCACTCTACAAGATCTAAGCAATCACTATGAATTAACTGTCAGCCAGAAAAACTCAAAATTCTGTAAAGAAAACATCATAGTCCATAAATTATGTCTCACCCACAATATCCAATATATCTTTTTAAAAACTGCTACAAATGCAAATAGGAAAAAAAAAGTTTGACCTAAAGTGAAAAAAAAGTTAATAAAAATAGTCCCTCAGAATGATGTGGGTGCTGATATTATCAGAGAAGTACTCTTAAAGCACTATTATAAACATATTCAAAGATTTAAAGGAAATGAGGAATAGAATGAGTGAACACAGACTATCAATAGAGACATTAAAACTGTAAAAAAGAACCAAACAGAAATTCAAGAACTGAAAAATAAAAAATATGAAATAAAAAACTCACTGGATGAGCTTAGGAGAAAATTGGACAGTGGAAACAAAGGGATCAGTGAGCTTGAAGCTGGGTCAATAGAAATCACCCTAACTGAAGAATGAAGATAAATATTAATTTTTAAAAATGAACAGCACCTTAGTGTCCTGTGTCAGTAGAAAGATGTTTAATAGGCATACAATTAGAGTATCACAAGAATAGGAGAGAAAGAGATTGGGCATAAAAATATTTGAAGAAATAATAGTTGAAATTTCCCCAAATTTGATGAAAAATATCAATGCACAGATCTGAAAAGCTGAGCAAACCAAAAACAGTATAAGTACAAAGAAGACCATACCTGGGCACATGACAGTAAAACAGCTGAATGCCAAAAATAAAATATTTTAAGAGCAGCCAAAGAGGAAAAATTATTATACATAGGAGAACAATAATAGGGATGACTCTGACTTCTCATTAGAAACAATGGTGGCCAGAAGACAATGAAACAGCATCTTTAAATGCTTAAAAAGGGGACTTTAGCTTCCAGCCAAAATAGAATAACAAAACAACCTAAAATAAGAAAAGGAGGGAAATGAAATACATGAAACAATGGTTTTCAAAAAACTGGATATCAGTCAACAAAGCACAGTGATCCGAGAGATAGGAAATAAATAAGGTGAGGTTCATGATTGCCCCATTTTCCTGTCTTAAGAGTTTCCCGGCCACTAATAGGGAGGGGGAAACCAGGCAGAGCCCATCAGACTATCTGAGTTGAGGAGATGTTGCTTAGAGCCCAGGGAAAACAAGGCAGATGATGTTTGAAGAAAGACTGGCACAAAGAGAACCCTGGAAGTCTCCAGAGAATCTCCCTCAGGTATTGAGCACAATCATTTGAGGAAACTACCTGGGGCCAGGGAATTAAAGGAATAGTACATCCAGTGGCCTCACAGGACAAAGACCAGTGCCCATTATCACCAGCCAGACTGAAAAACCACATTATTCAGGGAACATTGGATAAAGTACTTGGAAAAGTATTACATTAGACATGAGGAATAACTAATTAACTCTAGACTAAATGATGTTCTGGTTACACATAATGAAATTATAAAAGCAAGACCCAGAATGTTCAAGCTGTTTCCAAGTAACTCAACTGCATCCTAGAACAAAGCACAAGAATATTTAAAAGAATATAAAAATATTCAGCACCCAACAAAAGAAAATTCACAGTGCCTGGCATCCAATCTAAATTTACCAGAAATACAAAGAAGCCAGAATATACAACCCATAAAGAGGAGGTAAATCAATCAATTGAAACTGACCCAGACTGAGATCAATGTTAGAATTAACAAACAAGGGCACTAAAATAATTATTAAGACTGTATTCCATATGTCCAAAATCTTAAGTAAAGACAAGAAATATTTTTTTAAAAGGGAGACTCTCCAAAGCCAGAAATCTGAGGCGATCAAACTGGATAGGAAAACAGCCATGGCTAGGATGAAAAATACACTGGATAGGAATAACAAGAGATAAGATGTTTCAGAAGAAGAAAATAATAAACTTGAAGAAGTAACAACAGAAATTATCCAAAATGAAACTCAGAAAGAAAAAAAGAATTTACAAAAATGAACAAAGCATCAGTCAGTGATCTGTGGGCTAAGTTCAAGTGGCCTAATATTTATGTAATTAAAATCTCTGAAGGAAAGAAAGGGAAGGACCCAAAAATATGTTTGAAAAAATGATGGCCATAGTTTTTCTAAACTGATGAAAACCA